CAATAAAACGGCAATTTCATACTTTAACCCCTAATATTATATATTTTAGTAGCAGTAGGGCTCCGTGTGAAAGAGTTCGTGCAGGGAAGTATTGCCACCTTACTTATGTCCGCCAAGCAGTGATGTCAGCAATACTGTGTTCAAGGGTATGGGTGCTGGTGAAATTACAGGCACATAAGACTTGTCAACTTATGTCTCAGGGTGACGGGCGCAGCAGCGGTGCCACTGTTATGGACAGGGTGTGGCTGACCGTTAGGCGCACGACTTGTTCGTCCGCGTCACTTGATATTATAAAAAAAGTTCATAAAAAACGTTAAGATTGATTTCCCTTTCCAATCTATCACGTGTATATTTTAAAAACATATTTATGAATGTACATACTCATAAAACATATTTTATAAATTTATTCGTAGCAATTAACACGCTAGTTCCAGTAAACAAAAATTTAAAAAGACGTGACATTATTTTTAACGCAAACTTTCAACACCTACCGTATAAATACACTAACAAATGCAATTAAATTGACTACTTTTCGCAAGTTTCTCATAAATTGATTCTATCACATGTGATAGCAATGTGTTGTTCAGCCAGACCAACCATACGCACTCGTAAAACACAAGATGAAAGTGGTGAAATCTAACAAATGCAACGAGAAAATGCCGCCGCTATAAATAATGCACTAGTTTGGGCCCTTTAGACTACCTCACTTGTCCATTACTTGTCCAGCAGGTTATACATTTTGACATGAAATATTTAGAGCACTCCGTGATGTCCGGCCATACAGAAAATTACGAACAGATTAAATTGTTTAGTTAAATCGTCCTTACTTAGAATGGCTAGTGAAATCGCTGTGAAATGTTATTAATTAACCGGAATATGTTCTTACATTGAAGCTGTTATTAATTGAGTTATGCTCTCTTAGATAATACTGCTTCAGCTACTTTCACATTTAAGGCTAGTTTAATTGAAAGCGACGTCCGCTTCGCGGCAATTTACTTACAACTAAACCAGGCATCAATGAATGACGTAACAATAAAAAGAAACCTTATGCTATTAAATGTAACGCTATGTGGTACGTCCGTATATATATATATATATCTACAAAAAAAAACTAATTCTATTCAATTCACTCGTTCGGCAACTATGGTGTCAAAAACAAATACAGACAGACTATATGGCGACGATGGCTTTCTAGAATATAGGCCGTTCTCAAAATCACCTAATTTATATAGAATATCTAAGAAGTAAAACCGATGAATCGTATGAAGACCCATAATTTACGTGTTTATTTTAAACAACAAACATCTCGGTGCCTGTTTTATTATAAAATTTAGCTCAATCTGAGTGTAGCTCTATAAAAAGGCTATAAATGAACTATTTTGGTTTAGGTTACAATATTTCTGAAAAGCAGCGACTTGTTAAACTTATGATGAGTAGTGTTCTTTTTTCATTGGGCTTTAAAAAAATTGGTTTATCTACAGAGTTAACGGTTTAGCTAGACACTTGCACGTGCACACGTCGAATACAAATTTAGTACAGATTACAATCACGTTATCAAATAAAGTATCTGAACAACCGAAGTGTATAAATATGGATCAC